TAGGTACTTAGACTTATTGCTAACTTTATCGCATACGTTATTCTTCTTGTATTTCTCACGGTATGTTTGCTTGTGTGACACTTGTTTTCTTTGTTTACTCAAGTTCTGTCATCTATTGGAAACAGTGAGAACTGGAATATAATACTCGGGTAATATGTTTTCTCCGATAGGTGGTATTACGTGTAAGACAAGAAAAACAATAGTGTGCGACAAAGACAGAATTATATATTATGTTAGATAAGGAAAGCAATATGTAACAAGAGCAAATAGATTTTAGTTCCATCTTTTCACCGGTACGCAGCGCTAGCATTTCAGTGTCCATAAATTGTTCCACTTTTTGATTGTAAAAATCTTATTTAATAAAATTAATTTGTGAACATTTACAATTATATTTTTCTAATTAAGTATTCAGCTTCCCTTCTATATTCCTCACGAATCTATTAATAAAGGTGTATAATTTTGTTTGATATATAAACATAACCTTAATATTCGTACACTGCGTAGCCTTAATATTCATATTCATTCAGAAAAATTTGAATAAATTTTTAATGCATCTTAATATATAATTGAATCTGAAAATAATATAATATTTAAGAAAACAGTACGTAAATCGTTACATTTGAATTTCTAATCAATGTTAAAAATATTTCGTAATTATTGTATTATATTATTATGAAGATGAACAAATTTACTTATCGTGTACGGTCTTTTTATCAAAATCATAATCTTACCCAAATACGCGTAAGGTCAGTATTACATACCTTTTTTTCTACTAATAAGTAGAACCGTAAATATCTTGAGTTAAAAAAAAAGAAAGTTATTTATTACTGATTTTAATTATGTATATTTACGCTTGATTTTTAGACAACTCTTGTATCTCAATAAATTTTATTCTACAAATTCAGAAGTTGCTAGAGAATATGATACACCGATAGAAAATATCCGTAATTTCAGTATTATAGCACATGTTGATCATGGTAAGAGCACCCTTGCTGACAGATTACTGGAAATAACAGGTGCAATAAAAGTCAACTCTGGTAAACAAATATTGGATAAACTACAAGTTGAGAAAGAACGTGGAATCACTGTTAAAGCGCAAACAGCATCGCTTAACTACACATACAAAGGAATTAAATATCTGCTTAACCTGATAGATACACCAGGACACGTTGATTTCTCTGCTGAAGTACACCGTTCATTAACTGCCTGCCAAGGAGTAATTTTAATAGTAGATGCAAATGATGGTGTACAGGCACAAACTGTGGCCAATTATTACTTAGCCATTAAACACAATCTAGTCATAGTGCCAGTGATCAATAAAATAGATTTAAAATATGCTAATCCCGACAGAGTTTTAAATCAGTTAGAAACATTATTTGATATAAAAGAGTCAGATGTGTTAAAGATATCTGCTAAATTAGGTACTGGAGTATCTAAAGTCTTGGATGCTGTAGTTGAAAGAATTCCACCCCCTGATGTATGTAGAGACAAGCCATTCAGAGCTTTAATATTCGATAGCTGGTACGAAAAATATAAAGGAACAATTTTACTGATATATATCAAAGAAGGATTTTTATCCCTTAAACAACACATTGTTTCAACATATAATAAGAAGCCTTACGAAGTTAGAACTATTTCGTTGTTGAGACCCTCTGAAGAAGTTGTAAATAAGTTGTAAATATGAAATTTATAATAATGCTACATTAATTACATGATAATAATGTATTAATGCATGCTCTAGGTTTGCAGGTCAAATAGGATGCATTTCTTGTAATATGAAATCTTCCAATGAAACGATCATTGGCGATACATTACATCTGAAAGATCATGTTACTGAACCTTTATTAGGGTTTAAAGCACCGAAACCAATGGTTTTTTCGGGTGTTTATCCGATTGAGAAATCGGAATTTGAAATTTTGAAAATCGCTATCGAGAAATTAACATTAAATGATAGTAGCGTTACTGTTACAATGGAAACTAGGTATCAATATTTTTTAAATATATTGAGTAAATTAAATAACAAAAAAGGTGCACAAGTGCGATTTTAATTTATTTATCTAAGTACCTTATACATTCTTCTTTTTTTAGTGTAGCTCTTGGACAAGGCTGGAGACTTGGATTTTTAGGTTTATTACACATGGAAGTATTCATGCAACGACTTGAACAAGAATATGGTGCACATTCAGTTGTGACAACGCCCAGTGTTACATATAAAGCAAAAATTTTTGGCAAGAAGAATGTTAAACAATACAAGACTGATATGATTTCATTCAACAATCCTGCAAATTTTCCTGATCCTAGCATTGTGGAGGAATTTTATGAACCTATGGTACTAGGAACTATTATAGCACCAAGTATATTCAATGATTAAATCTTATATATAATGTAGTTAACTAAAAAGACAATACTAAACAACTTATAATTGTATATCAGTTGAGCATATAGGTACAGTTATGAATTTATGTTTTGAAAGACGAGGAATACAACAAATGGCGAAAGATATTGGTCACAACAGAACGATGTTTCAATTTTTACTGCCATTAAATGAAATTATTGTTGATTTCCATGATGTACTAAAACGTGTAACTTCGGGATATGGGACTTTTGATTATGAAGACAGTGGTTATCAGCCTGCAAACATCGTAAAGGTAATTATAATTATTTCAATATGTTTAGATGTAATAATTTTATATTGAGATTCTCCGTAATTTATTAGTCCTATATGAGTATCTACATTTTACAGTTAAATATTGCTTTAAATGGTAAAGTAGTGGAAGAATTTAGTACTATTGTACACGCTAGCAAAGCTCGGGCAATAGGCAAACAAATATGTGAAAAAATGCTAGATATTCTTCCGCGTCAAATGTTTGAAATAGCGATTCAAGCAATCGTTAGCGGGAAAGTGCTCGCGAGAGAAAATTTAAAAGCATACAAAAAAGATGTAACTGCGAAATTGGTAAATAATTCTTTTTATATCTCGTGCATTGTGTACTTTCACATATTTCCATAATTAATTTCTTTTATTCTAGTACGGTGGTGATGTTACCAGAAGAATGAAATTATTAGCTCAACAAGCAGAAGGAAAAAAGAAAATGAAAATGATTGGAAAAATATGCGTACCACGAGAAACATTCATAAATCTTCTTAAGAAATAGTATAAGTACAGTCTTTTATATTCAATGTAACTATATATATCATATCAAAATAAATTATTAAATACATTTTCATATAACTAATATTTTGCTACCTACAAATATAAAACATTTTTTAAGGTTTATTTAGTAATTTTAATATTTTGGCAAAGTATACACTATTAGTAAAATTTATCTTCTTATAAATCTCTTAAAAAATTAAGTTACAGTAATAATATATCATTGATTCACAGAATTAGGTGAAGGGTCTGACAACTGGTGTGTGCTATTTGATACGGTATTTATAGAGTTCACATTTTCTTGTTTGAAAGTTGAATTAGTGTTGAGATTGATATTAATTACAGATGTGGATGCTGGATCTTGCATATCCAATTGACTTTGAGCAATATCTTGTAGAGCAGCTTGAATTCTTTGCAAAAGTGCTTCACCCTGTTTTACAACTTCTTCTAGTTGTTCACCAGCTTCTTGGTTCTCTTGTTCAAGGCGACTAAGACTTGCAACTTGCAGTTCTTGCGATGATTCTTCGCTTGGTAAACTTTCTATCAAAGTATCAATATCTTTTGCACACCTTGCTATAAGCGTTGCAAATAAAGCTGCATAATCTAAAATATAAGTATTGTTTACATGCAAATTCATGGAATTTAAATGAAATAAATTATATATAAAAAAATACCTTCTTGAGGCTGATGCGGTTGAGGTGTTCCAACACGATCAAAACCAGGAAATTTGCTGGGTGTTGAATACTGTTGTAAAATACCTACGCTGTTACAAAAATGTTCTGCTTGCTAGAATAATAATGAGCGAAAATTATTTTTTTACATACTGTGTTTATACATGAATAATTTATACAAGCAAATTACCTGATTTATAGTATCTTGTAATTGTGTTAAACGATCTGCCATATTTTTCAAATATAACCTTCAAAATTGTGTTGTTTCTACAATATAATTAACGATAATATTCCACATATAACATTACTACAATGTGCAATTTTCTATCATAGAATACGTTTATATGAAGTTTCTCACGTTAAGAAATTAATTTTTATACCGCATTCAATTCCAACCTTAAAATTTCACTATTACGATTTGAATGTTGGTGAACATGTTACTGAGGGATACTTCGAATTTATATTTCAAATTGACAATATGATGTACTTGTATTAACAACCAAATAAATTAATCCTCGTGACAAAATTTAGAAAAGAAAAATAGAAAAAAAGAAAATCTAACAAATGTTAACAATATGTTAACTTTAATTAATTTCGTTCTTGCAGTGATATTATTAAAAATAATAATCGTATCTTAGCATCAAAGTTGTCTGATCAATAAAATTGTTGTGATCCGTGTTAAACTGTATTATTTTAAATATAAAATTTTTAAAGCATTTTCTTTTGATATTATAATGTATTTTTTTTTATGTTTTAATGTATTTTAAGCACAATTTTTGCGTCATGAAGCATCAAAACATTTCGTTAAAAAAACAAAATTTTAAGGTTTTAAAGATTTTAAGAAAACCTTTTCCAATTTTATATATATATAATTTTTATATTTTAATTAATTTTATATCTTTTAAAAATATTCTTTATTAGAAATTATAAATATGAAAGAAACACATAGAGCTGGTATAGTAGTTTCTATATAGAAACTAAATGCATTGCTTAAAGTACTTACTGATATATACCTCACATCATTGCATACAAGCAATGTAAAAGTCCCTACATTTAATATATATATTTACTAGTATTTTATTTTAAAAAAGAAACAGAAATATATAATGTTTATATATAATTTCATAAAAAATATTTACACGTGTAGTTTAATTCAATTTACTTTGTTAAAAAAATGGAAATCCTTTTCATTATCGATCGACATGAACGCTTTTAAAAACTGTTATTTTATTTTTAACAGAAACATAATGGGAATAAAATCTTAAGTTACGTATGTACAAAAACAATTATAGGTTATAAATATTTTATAACGATCTTGAAATTCATTTTAGGTACTTAATGCAATAATTACAAGAAGAATGTTAAAAAAGAGAAGGACTTTCATATTAACATAATTTAGCATATTTCCATTGCATTTTATAAAATGTTTACATGGGGAAGTATTTACAAAAATATGAGTAGGGTATGATGAAGTGTAGAAGACAGGAAAAAGGGATGAACAATATAGTTTTATGAACGATTCAATTAAGAGTACCCCTACATTGAGGAGCTCCACATAGGCAAGGGATTTTATCATCTTCCAATGGAAATTTATAATCGTACGTGATCTCCTCGTTAACTCCTATCGGTTGTTTACTATAAATTACAATTTTCTTTTGGCTTTCGATCGTAATTACTTTTGCGTAACAATTCGGCTGAAAAATAATAAAACGATTAATAGTGTGGCTTAAATCATTGTAAGAATTTATTCTATAGGATGTATGTCAGTAATCATAGTACAATTAATTGATTAGCACTGATTAGCATTCTCATAAACATACTCATTTACATTCAATTGATCTTTAATGCAAAATGTATAAGACACAGATTGTAATACTCACATTGCAGCTATGATTAATGAACCGTGCTAAATTCCCACACTTTGTTGCATCAATAATCGTGTCTAAATCGATACGGAAAAGATAGGAACTACCGATACCGGTAGCTTCGTATTGAGACTCTCGTAAATCAGCAACAACTGGCCTGACCATTTGTCCGACATATTCGATGACCATTTCGTCAGCTGCAATTGGCTCCATGGCAAATAGACCCCAATCGTGTATACCAGATTTAGCAAATTTCAATTGTTTTTTCCTGAACTGTAAAAGATGAAATATGCATATTTAACATTGATCAATTTTACGGTAACTGAAAATGATTTAACGAAGCAATTGAAATCTTACTTTCAACTGATTGAACTTAAGAAGATCACTGTCAGTATCGATACCGAAGGCTGTTAATAACCGTCTCTGATTACTTCGGGCTTCGCGAGACAAAGCTTGCATTTTACCAGTTAAAGCTTTAGTATTGTTCTTTGGACCATTCATTGTTCCATCGCCACCAGCGTAAGGACCATTACTATCTTCAACGTCGTTACTTCGTTGTATACTTTGGGCATAGTGATGCTACATAAGAATAAATAATTTTAAAGAATTAACAGGCTTAATAAATGAATGCTAGTGTAGCACAATATTTAGTAAGACCACTTTTAGCATCAATTACTTGTAATTTGTAATACGAAAATCACTCAGAGAGGAACACTAATATATAATTATATTCTAATTATATTAAAAAGTTCAGCCATACCTTATGTTTAGCTTTCTCTCGTACGTCAACCTTATAATATCCTTCTGTTCTTGCACTTCCACTTGTATGTAATCTAAGTTCGTCTCTTTTTCTGCGTTTCGCAGGACTTGGAATATCCGTTGCAGGGTGATCAACCCAATGAGTATCATTTAACCAATAACCTTGGCTGTCATCGGCTAATAAAGCTTCGTAACTTCGTCTTAAATATTCAACATCCTCCGCATCTATCCCTCTTGTTAAAAATTCATACAAAATAGCCATTTCCGACATAAGGTCACGTTCTTTATATGTAACAACTGGCTCTTCAACTTTCTTCGGATATTTTTCATAAACATACTCATTTTCGATATTTTCTTTCTCTCTTTCATGATTCTGATGAGCGTGTATTTTTGTATATTTATTATATTTCTGTTTTTCTACTTTGTGTGTCTTGTCTTTGCTCTTCGATAATTTTATGATCTTCGACGATTTAAGTTTTACCGGTTTCATTGGTGTCGATGGTGTGCGAATTACAGTCTTCGTAATTTCTGATTGGGCAGGTGGCAATGAGTATGAATGTTCCATAAACACTTGTGAAGCTTGAGAGTTTTTAGGACTTTGTTGACCATTAAGTCGGAGATCAGCTTCGGCTTGATACCTAATTAACGCAAAACACGTAGTACAAAACAATATGTATAGTTAATATACTTTTATTCTTATTTAAATTTACATATAATTTTACAAACCTTAATCTTCTAATTTCTAAGCTTTCTTCCTCCGAATCGGTGGTAGGTATCTCGCTAAACATTTCAATCTTTTCTGAATCTTTTAATATAGGTTCATCGTTAATGTACTTAGCAGACATAGTTTGAAGAGCTCTAATAATATTTGGTTGTACAGGTCCCGGACTCTTATGTCTTATAATGTTATCTTGACCAGCTAATGTTATTAAAGCTTCTGCTGCAGAATTTTCCATTTTTTGTATATCACATGGTTCTTGTTTAATTGGTATGACCGAAGCACTTTTTACTTTCTTCTGTATTTCACCTTCCATTCTTTCCGTTTCTACCTCTTCCTTCGCTCCAACTTTTTCGAGATATTCTTCGTTTATAGATTTTTCACTTTCCTTCTCACTATCTTCTTTATCATTTTCATATTTCAACGGAGATGATACAGGGCTAGCTTCATTGTCACACTGTGGGAATTCATTCGAATTTACGTCTTTTATTTTAATATTAGGTACTGGTGTCTCTCTACCAGTAGGCGTTGGACAATCTAACGATCTTTGAATTGCAAGTTCCATTAAAATATCAGGATCTTCACTGTTACAAGCCAGTGGACGATGATCTGATAAATGACTGTCTGTATCTTGCTGAAAATAAAAATTATTTTTATGAAAACATGAAAGTGTCATACATGAATGTTTAAGTAAATTGCTTGCGGTTTTAATTAATTATATACCTCATCGTCAAAGTTTCCAGAGCATACTTCTTCGTCAGAACTATCACTCGAACTGCTGGAAGATTCGCTGCAACTCATTTCCTCGCTGCTACTTTCACTAGACGAAGATGACGAGGAAGATGAAGAAGAAACGCTTGGAAGAGAAGTAATTGGTCTTTTAATTTTTTGCACTGACGCCAGATCAAGATCGCTATCGCTTCCTATAAGTTCCGTGTCACCATGATCAGATTGACGACTATCTTCGTCTTGCGGTAATGGGCTTGGAGCTTTAATTTTGCGCTAATAACATAAATATTAAATCATTACTAGAATATCATTGCTTTAAGTATGTCTAAACGTATCTATTCTTCTATTCTATTTATATATTACAAAATATTTACAATTACATTATATTATTAAAGATAAATTTTAATATAACAGAAATAATTGTACCCTGAAAGAAGGCATCTTTGGCATACTGGCTCTAATACCCAAACCAAATCCATCATAATTAAATCCAAGCGGAGTTCCTTGTTCTAAAAGTAATGATAATCCTTGAGGTTTCTGTCCTTCTTCCTTATTACTATTATTATTAACAACAGTATTTTCTCCTCCTTGATTTTGATTTTTTTCTGATTTCTTTTCATCCCACCATACTTCAAATAATTTGAATGCAGTGTTTTCAATCATTTTTTTGTTAAAATCTTTTTTTAGAATTTGCTTTAATTCATTAACAACTCTATTTAATACACCATTAATAGTAGGACCCTAAATAGAAATTGAATTGATAAAAGTTCATATAACATTTAAATTGATAAAGTTGATATTACATTTACATTTAGAAGACATATACATACTTGTGGATTATCTTTTGTAATATTATGATTTGCCATAGCATGAAGCCTTGATTGAAAAGATGGATAATAATTAGCTCCTTGATTCCCTACTGTGCCAGAAAATGATGTAGTATTTGGTTGATAATGACTTTGTAAATATGTTGTTCCATATGGATATGGATATTGTGCTGGTCTTGGCCAATGATACATGTCGTTGGTAGGATAATGAGTTAAATGTCCAGGATAACCAGTTCCTGAATATAACTGACTTGTAGGTTCTGTTTGAGCTATAACCTGTATATTTAAATAGTTAAATATGAATAAATTAATTAAATTATTAATTATATATACTATTCAATGCTTATAATACTAAATGTTACTTCTTCAATTTTTTCATCTCCTGAACTTAATGGACTTAATGACATTCTATCATCATCTGGTGGAGGTGGAGGTGGTGGCTCCTTTGGTGGTTCTGGTTCAATTTCATCTTGTGCAGGACTGTAACTTCCCAACAATGCTTCATCTTCACTCGAACTTATAACACTACCTAAATCTTCGTCAACAGAAAATTGATTCATGCTATTCTCATGTACTTTCCATCGTTCTTTATTCCTTTCTCTCATTTTCTCAAAACATGATTTGTACGTTTCATGAGATAGAAAAGGACTTGGTGGTTCTGAGAGCATTTCATTATCTGCATTAACAGACTTCTCATCTTCAGAATCGCTACCAAACTGTAAGAAAGGTGGTGCCATTCCTCCTGCTTTGTCTTTTAATAACATGGCAATTCTAGTATCCAAATCTAATGTTTTACGAGTTTCTACTGGTGAATCTCGTGATGAGTTTTTTGTTATATTTTGATTTTCTTTCTCTTTCTTAGGTGTATGATGTATTTTTACATTAGAAGCCTTAGAAATTGGAACTGCATTAGTACTGGAATTATCTAAATTTGTTCCATGTTGAACAGGCCACATAGAAGATGACGCATAACTTGTTGCCCCTGTATTATTTCCCCACCATATATTTGAATTCTGCGGCATCGAAAGATTTTGCGATACATTTTGTGGCATATTTGCTAAATAATTGTTTGGAGGCTGATGGTAACTACTATAATAAAAATCATAATTCGTAGCTGGAGTAGAATTTTGAGAATAATTACTAGAATAATTTAGTTCACTAGGTGCAGTACCATAACCTAAATCACTGCCACTAGGAGTAGGATAATCTCTATACTTATTGTATCTCGAGTTTTCTATATATGTATCTCTTGATTTTTCTATATTGGATATTTTTTTGTTACTTCTGAAATCATCTCTTTCTTCAGTAATAATTTTTTCAATTGGAGTTTGCTTCTCTTGATCATTCTCAGGCTTTATTTCCTTTTCAATTTTCTTTTCTAGTTTTTTTTCTATAGTTAACTCATCATAAACCTTTTTACACTCTTCTCCAAATGCATCAAGAAACACTCTTAAGACTTTACCCATCACAGATGTGTTATTTAATTTTTCTACACAAGCTTTCGAAGCTTTTGTAGTTTCAAAAACTACTCTTGCAATTCCAAGATGCTTATTAGTTACAGGGTGATAATAAACAATAAGTTCTTCTACAGCTCCAAATTTTTGAACCATATCTGATAAAAAAGTTTTATCAATATTATCATTTAAATGACAAAATGTTACTTCAAGCGGAGGAGGTTCACCACAGTAATTAGAATCAATTTTAAATCTAGGTACAGGTAAGTCAAGTTGTTCTAAACGAGTCCAAATCCTTGTTAACTGTGATCTAGGATCTCGAGGTTGAACTTCAGGATAAGTTGGATCTCCTGGAACCATGCCATCGTATCTGTACAACTTTGTTGCACCTTTTACCAAAAATGGATCAACTAATAACTTGTAATTTCTTGGCTTCTGAGGTGTTTGAACTGCAGATGTATCTTTTTGCAAGTGCAACGCATGGGTATGGCTATGTTTCGATGATTGGCTGGAATTTTGAGATACACTTTGTAGATTTCCATGTGAGTGACGATGACGATGCGAATGTGCATGTGAATGTCCATGTCCATGCCCATGTCTCTCCATCCCGTTCATTGCCTCCAAGCATTATCCACTCATAAATTGCTACAAATAAAAATTAATGACAGAAGTTGTGTCACATAAAAGCTATAAATTAGATTTCATAATATATATATCCATGTAAATTACAATAATATGTATATGTAAGAGATATTTTATACATTTTGTATAATATATTTTGAGATATTTATAAATATGTAACATTCATTAAATGTACAGTAATTAAATAATGAATTTTAAATGATTTAATTGAATACATAAATAATTGTAATTAAACATTATATACATAGAATATTAATATAAAATGTCACATTATTACAGACAAGTTGAAAAGACACATTATTAATTAAAGATCGACAAATCAAATACATTATCTGAATGTATAAGATCCCAAAACTATCAGATATCTAAAAAATTAAATTATAGATAGATAAAAAAAAAAATTTAATACAATCATCACTTCTTAAGATAAAATGTATGAACCTGAACTAACATGCTGAACACTATTGACCAATATGAAATTTAATGCACGCTAAGAAGATCTGTTGTCAATTTGAACTTACGTCCAGTTTGTTTTTGTTTTCCTAGTAAATTGGTTTGCTCGTTAATGCAAGAAATTCATGTTTCAATAAAACATAACCTCAAATATTACAAAGTTTTTAGGTTGGACTTCGGCGCGAGGAAACAATATGACAATCATCTTGCAAAAGAATTCTTTTTGTCGTTGAATTTAATTTCTTGCACAAACTCCGATCGAGACAGAATTTCTTTTGTGGAAAAACACAGTCCTCGAATTCTGCAAGGTATGTTCCGGTTTTTTCAAAAACTTGCAGTTTTTCAACTTGCTTGTATAGTATCGTGTTTACTATATAGACGTGGCTCATGCATCGGCCTTGATACTCGGACTTCTCTTTAGTCTTCGTTGATCTTCCTTCGTGAGAAAATACACGAGTTTATTGATACTACCTCCCCGACAAACGACCGCAAAACTACCTCAATGTTTGACTGTTAAGCACAATGCACTGCGCCCTGATTTTCCGAAATTTTCACAAACTGATAATCAGTAGTACAAACAACGGTGCGCAAACTAACTAATTCAGTGGAACTTGGATCGTTTGAACGTAATCCTTAGGACGTGTTTATGATGGCTCGACGGTGGCTCATGGCTTTAATAAATCTACGCGAACAGAGATTCAGATGACGCCATCCTTATTGCAAAGAACATGATGGTTCTTTTAATCATTTTACTAAACAAATCATATTAACATTTCGTACAAGTACAAATACTCTCGTGTTATCCGTGAAACATAACGTTTGGAATACACGTCGTGGGAAATCGTAACGCTAAATTGTTTCCAAAATGAAAGTCCAAAGTAAACGGATAACCGAGCCGAAATATCCAACATTTTTTTTCGCTTCCTACTCTGTCTTGATTCACAGGCTTTCGTGTGACCGAAGAGATTATCGGAAATCTCGCCTACCGCTGGCATCCTGTATGTTATACCAATAATTTGCAAATGTAATTAAATGCTTAACAACGGTATTGCAAAATAATTGCTGAAAATCTCCGTCCCATACGATGTCCAGTATTTAATCTACGTATTGGCCAGTCCCGATCTAAGAGAATTTTCTGGCTGCCTATTAGCAAATCAACTTTCTGCTTTCAAAGGAAATTGCGCGTTATAATGCGCAGACGAACGTGTACGAATGTACTGCGTTTCGTAACGGAGTTAATTTTTCGAATGTAACATATTTTGAGTTGATCGATGACACAACTTGAAAATAAGAAAGACCTAATAAAACACAAAATAAACATGTTAATGAACAAATTGTAGACATGCCGTCGTATTCGTTACGTTACGATATACATTATTCTAACAATCACGACATACAATCGGACAAAGAATAAAACTGAAGTATAAATATTTTTTTCAAAAAGTTCAAGTTGAAAAATTTGTCAAGTATGTTCAAATCTGGTCAATTCCAAACTGGACAAATAAATATTCGAGAGCGTATGGACATGAATTAAAAATATTAAATACATTTTTTTTTTTCCATAATACAACACCGTCCCGAGAAAATGAAATTTGAAAATTTATCAAGTACGCGTGTACTCTCTACTTTCTTGAAAATGAGGCCTTAAGTTCAAAAAATTACAGTCCACATTTTTTAACTTATTTTTGCCCTGTAAATTGTTTATTTGCGTTATATAGTCAGCAATTAGCAACAATTAGTGTTTATATGTATCGAACAAATTTTCAAATTTACTTCCATCGAAAATAGAGCGCCGCATAAAAAAATTTTATTCCATATTTTGCGACTTAGCTTTTTACATAAAATTACCTCCCTTGCTTTTACTTGAAACTACTCTGTTGTACTATGATTGCTAGTATATCCCTGTTTAGTAATTTATAAACCTAAAAATAAAAAAATATTCGATTAATAATTTCAATAAATAAGTTAATGTTCATTTTTGTCTTAACGAGAATGATTGTATTTGCCTATGGTTAAATGTTTTAATTAAATGTTTGCCAGTTTAAATGTTTTATTTATTATAACTGATACATACATATATATATATATAT